TGGTTTTCAGACTCCAGGTCTTTGCACATTTCATTATAGTAATTGGTTTTGTCTACTCGAGCTGCTCTTTGAAATCTTCTGTTCAGCTCTTTTACCTCAGTCAGCCCCAGGGTTACAGGTGAGGAGAGACAACGCAGGGATGCCAGAGTAGCAGGCCGGAAGAGCAGGAGAAAGGGGATAAAAGCCTTACATCAATAATGAGTGGAATAGTAGCCAAAGTTGCCAGCTTTCCAGGTCTCTGTCCCACACACCAAAAATTGCAGTACTAAAACAAAAGGAGTAGGATGGCTGCAGTCAGAGTTGTGGAATACCCCATTGCAAAAGAATCAGTTCTAGACTGCAGCTAATTGGTTTATTAACCAAAAAACAAACTCACTGCCATCGAGCCAGATCTGACTCATAGCAACCCCTCCTTGGGCTTCCGAGGTGGGATCACTATGGAAGTAGATTGCCCAACTTTCCTTCTGAGGAGTGGCTGGTGGGTTTAAACCGCCAGCCTTCTGGTTAGCAGTCAAATGCCTTAGACCCTATGCCACCAGAGCTCCTAATTGGTTTATAGGCAGCAGATATATCCTGCAGGAAGCTTCATACTTTATCAGAACCTGGGAGGTGATAAGACTGTCTTATGACAGGCTTCAGGGAAGATAAGTAAGAGGGAGATTGCCTCACATGCCACTTATCCTCTCATGGGAGGATAACAAAACATTCTGCCAAGACTCAGATTAGGTGTGGTTTAAACCTTTTCTTTCATGGCCTACATGAAAGTTTCAGGATGCCATGGCAGAGCCATTCCCTTACACTGAGCTACAGTGACTCCTATATCTACTCACATGGTCTTGTTCTCTTATGCTTAAGCTACCACTAGAGAAGGACTCTGCTGTTGACACACCTGATTTTCCAATGTCTGTGGTTTGTTTCCTATCTGGTATCCAGCAGAATGAACTAGGTCCTGGGTGTGGCCTGTTGGGTTTTTGAGTACGATTTTCTAGCTGAGACCTAAAACCACTGCCAGTTATACAGAGTGGGTATTGTGGAATATATATCTAAGTGTGTATACCAGGCATACACACACACAAATATGTATTTGTATATATTAAATTACCACAATAACTTTGGCAATTACAGAACTTTAGAATAATAAGGATAGTGGTTCTTACTGTGAAACTCAAAGCCAGCCAGATTTAGTAAGTTAATCACCAAAATACACAAATTAAACTTTGCTGGGATAACCTCATGAATGCTTGTCTAATCATCTTAACATTGTGCCCAAGATGGTGGAGCACTGTACCATACATCTTACCCAAGGACAAATTAATACCTCTAGTATTAATTTAGTATCCCAAATTGCTAGCACTGGTGAGTTTCTTTTGTTAAGGTATCTTATCATCACTTACAACATTTCATTATAGGGTATTTCTGTCCTGCATGGACAGATACTGATATAGCAGCAGAATTGTTGCTTTGCTTGAATTTGATTGGTCACTATGTATTTATTTAAATAATATTTTATTGTGTTTGTGGTGCAGGTTTACACAGCAGTTTAGGTTCCCATTGGTTACATTCTTCATACAGTGTGTGAACATTCTCATTATTTCCGTTCTGGTTATTCAGTTTTAGCCACTAATTATTAATGTTGATTACAGATTAATCCCACAAAAATACCCAACACCTCTTCTTGGCTGAGATTTTTTGGGGAAAATTTTAAATATTCACATGACTATGTAATGTATGATTCTCTTTGAAATATTTCATTTGTTTTAAATTAAATAACAATATAACTGCCACACAGGTGAACTGTACCCATTCTCTGCCAGGGCTAGGCAGGTCCAGCCAGCTTAATTTATAAGTCTTCCAAGGAATGGTCCATGATGTAACAGTAAGGAGCTCTGCTAGCGTAGTGCCTAAGGTACTTGACTGCTAACCAGAAGGCTGGTGGTTCAAACCCACCAGCCACTCCTCTGAAGGAAGGTTGGGCAATCAACTTCCGTAGTGATACCGCCTCAGGAACCCAAGGAGGGGTGGCTATGAGTCGGGGCGACTCCATAGCACATAACAACAACAACAACATAGTTACAAACATATAACGTAACTTTCAAACTTCTTTGGCAACATTACCTTAAAAGGCCACAAGATGGAGATGTTAAGTATGAAAAGAAATCTTTTCTTTATAAAATAAGGGATGAGTGTTGGTGTATTGCAGAGCATTCACCTTTTTTCTCAATGGAAAAGAACTGGCATTTATCAGGCACATGCTAAGTGTTAGGCACTGTGCTAAGTACTTGAAAAATGCTGTCACCTTTAATTGTCACAAGTGAGATGAGATTATTTTCTCATTTTAAAGGTGAGAAAATAGGAGACTTAAAAAGGCTTGCAAAATGACGTGCAAAGTCATATACATATAAGTAAGTGTTGGAAACCCAAAGCTGGATTGGAAACCCAAGTCTGTCTGAATTCAGAAGTCAAGCTCTCTGCCCTCAACCATACAGCTTCCTTGTTTACATCCCTGATTAGAGAGTGTAGGAACACTAGTGTTACCAGACGCTAAAACCAAAAAAACAAAAGTTAAAAAATTTTTTTTTTTTCGTCAAGTCCATTCCATTTCTTAACGACTTAGGACAGAGTAGAACTGCCCCATAGGGTTGTAAATCTTTATAGAAGCAGACTCCCCCATCTTTCTCCTGCAGGATGGCTGTTGGGTTCAACCACTGACTTTTCAATTAGCCGAGTGCTTAATCACTGTGCTACCAGAGCTCCTGTTAGACTGTAAGGAGGATTTAAAAGCATATTGAAAACGTCTTTTTCTCTCTGCATGTCTTTATCTTTCCCTGGGTATGTTCTCTTTCCTGTCCTTTCTTCTACCATGTAATCCTCCTTAATTGGCCATCAAATAAATCTCCATTTCTCCTTCACAAACTTACTTTTCCTTTGAGATGTTAATTTTTTATTTCACTTAATGGCCATCATCCACTACCACTCAGTTGTTCCAATTATAAATCTAGGAGTTCTCAGCCCTTTTTTCTCCCCTACTCCCCAACTCCTATCCAGTCGATCACTTAGCTTTTGAAATATCCCCTCTTCTACATATAGTCCCTTAGCCTAGAGTTTTCCCACCACCCACCACCTCATTTGCTCAATTACTCTGATGGAGGTTGGATTCAAGTAGGCATCAGTGTCTCCTAGAACACACCTTACCTGTCCTTTTTGGAAACCGAATTTTTTCATAGCTTCTATCTTACCCAGGCAAACTCTTTATTACGTTTAGTGTATGTAATATAAGGCGCCCTGGTTGCTCAATGGTTAATCTCTTGGCTGTTGTCAGAAAGGTCTGTGATTCGAACCTACCTGCCACTCTGCAGGAGAAAGGTCTGATCTGCTCCTGTAAGGATTACAGCCTAGGAAACCCTATGGGGTGATTCTGCTTTGCCCTATAGGGTGGCTATGAGTCAGAATCAGCTCAGCAGGCTGATCAACATCAACACCTATGTAATAGGTAGCAGAAATACTTTATAGCTGTGTCTTGGTAGTGCCTCATTTAATTTGTAGGTTACATTACTAGTCAGAAGCAGAGATAGAAATAAACTGTCTTTAAGTTAAATATGTTATCTTTAATTGCCTGAGTATTTATGCTCACAAATGGAAGAACATTGCTTTTATAAAGCCTTAAACTTAAAAACTGTGTAGTTGAATAATTCTCTGAGAACTTGCTATGCTCTAACATTGTTAATAAAGGTTTTAAAAGTTATAAACATTCTCAAAAGAATAATAAATATCTTTTCTTTTCAAATAGTGTTCAGAATCAGGTGGATGAAGTTATTGATGTTATGCAAGAAAATATTACAAAGGTAATTGAAAGAGGGGAGAGACTAGATGACCTACAGGACAAGTCAGGTACAGATACTTTATATATTTCTTGATATTATTATCTGTGTTTTAGTAGTATATTTCTTCTTCCATTTGTGTAGCCATAGTTTAGGAATCATGGCTTAGAAAACTGACTTTTGATTCTTAAATTTATGATTCTTAATGGTTTAATTTTAGCTTCCTTGACTTTGTATTATCCTATTGCTTCATTATTTATTTAATTGTTCGGTTGGGAAGGGAGAGTTTGAAAATTCACTGTTGAAGAGTTAGAATAGAAAAAACAACCCTTGGTTACTGTGTTAGACTGGGTTCTCTAGAGAAACAAAATGAGTAAAGCTTATATATACAGAGAAAGAGAAATTTATCTTAGGAAAATGGCTCACATACTTACAGAAGCTGGCAAGTCCAAAGTTCTTGGATCAAACGTCAAGCTGGAGGCTTTTTCCAACTCATGCAGGAGCTGAGGATCTCAAGGTTGGCAGGCAGTACACTGGCTGTTGACTCCAACGAATGACGAATCCAAGATCTCCAGGCCGAATGGCGGATTGTTCACTCATGGACAGTTGTAGGCAGCACAACAGAATCCCAATCAACAGAAGAGTGTCTCTTTTCCCAGGATGTCCATAAATGTACTGGAAGCAGGCCACACCCCTAGGGAAACTCCCTTTCAGTGGATGGGCTGCTCAAAACATATACATCTGATCTCATCATTGGAACAACCCACATCACAACTGCTTAAACTACACAGAATTGTGGTCCAGCCAAGTTGACACACAGCTCCAACTATCACAGTTATATATTTTTACTTTTGGTCTGTTATGTTTTTGTGCTTTGTAGTTCTTTTGATCTCAAAGATTAAAGGTCTAAGCGTGTTTTTCAACACTTATTTCAAACTATCTGATTTTTTTATTTGTGCTTTCTTTGATAACTTTGTAATCTTTCTTTACTGACAAATGTTGATCTTTGAATCTGTAACAGTTCTTGGCATTTATTAGGCACTCAAGCATTATTTGAAAGATAAATGGCTGAATACCTGGATGATTAATCCTTGACAGATTTATTTAATCAAAAAACTTATTTAACCACAAGTATTGATTTGAGTGAAGGGAAACGCGATATAGTAAAAGCAAGTGAGCAACACAATAGCACTAAGGAAGAGGAAGACATAAAGAGGTGCACAAGAAGAACATACAACAAAGATAAACACCTTTATATACACAGTACAGCATTATCAGTAATAACAAACATTATTCTACAGGTGGATACATAAGCAGACATGTGGAATGATCAGGTATGTCTAGGCAAAAGGGAATATACACATGACCATGTATAAGTTTGGCAGATGGTATTTCTTCAGACATATTTGTATGTGCTGTAAGATTATCCCTATATATAATAGAGCTAACAAGGAGCAAAATTATTATAACTTCTTAGCCACAGCCTCCCACCCAGAGGGAATGAGTTGTTAGCCCATAGGCTCAGAACCATGATCATCGGGAACATCAAGCTCAACTGGCATAACACTACAAAAATATTGTTCTACATCCTACTTTGGTGAGTAGTGACTAGGGTCATCTAAGATGCAACAATTGGCCTCTACTCATCGGGAACAAAGAAGAGTGAAGAAAACCAAAGACACATGAAAACAGCCCCAAGAACTAGTGGACCTTGTGAACTTAAGTCTATATGACCCTGAGACCAGAAGAACTAGATGGTACCTGGCTACCACTGTCAGACACTGGGAAAAGGATCAGTGTAGGAGATGCTAGATAGAGTGGGAGAACAATATGGAGCAAAACTCAAAATCATAAAAAAAAAAAAGAAAAAGCAGGAGTATGGGTCCAATAGAGACTGGTGAAACCCCTAAGACTGTGGCCTCTAGTCACCTTTTGGGCCTGGAATTGAACTCACTCCCATGGCTTCCAGCCAAACAATAGACAGGTGTATAAAGTGCATTTACACCAGATAGGTACACTCCTTAGAAAAATCAGTCACAGGAGATCAGAAGGGCACTATTTGCACAGGGAGATACCCCAGAGGGCAGAAATGCAAAGAAAGAAGAACACGAGAAAAGGTAACCATAGGGAGGAAGTGGGAAAAGAGCTGTTACATTGTGAGGATTGCAATCAATGTCATGAAACAAAATGTGTATGGACTGGTGTATGGAAAATGAATTTTCTCTGTAAACTTCACCCAAATCACAATTTGAAAAAACAAACAAACAAACAAAAGCTAACCGCTTTTAAAATACATACTATTTTGCTTCAAAATCAGTCTACTTTTGAAATCATCTAGGAATCTAACCTTCTTCACATATAAATATTTTTTTATAGATGTGTCAAGTATTTGAATTTTTATAGGATATTTTCTTACTAAAATTTTAAGTTTACACAAAAGCATTGATGCCCTGAAAAGACTTCCCTTAATCTCATAGTGAAAATGGATTAAGTAACTGACCAATAGCAGTTATTTTTCAAAATATAGAGTGCCAAAATTTGTGGGTGGAAGAAAGGGAGGATGTTGTTTTCATGCTTAAAAGGGAATGAGTTTATAGAAGTAGAAATTAATATTTTCTTGTCTTTGTGTGACTAGATAAACGAATCCTGTTATGTCGTTTAATCCTTCTCTCCATCCTCTATGTGATATAGAAAGCTTATCGGATAATGCAACTGCTTTTAGCAACAGATCCAAACAACTTCGAAGGCAAATGTGGTGGCGTGGATGCAAAGTAAGTGAATCAGAAGATAATAATTATGTTGCATAGCATCTCAAGTGTTTTTTAAGACAAGAAGGAAGAAGGGCCTTTAGATTATAAACTCTGTGAGGATAGGAACTATAACTCTTTTGCTTATTGTTATATCTTCTGAACCTAGGACAGGTGGGAGCTCAGTAAATACATGTCAAATTAATTACTATTGGGACAGGAATTACTAAAAGAATCTAGTAATACCTAAACAGATGCTTTCATAGATTTCTTCTTTGAAAATAATCCACATTTTATAATAACTGGTTCTAGACCTAATATCTTGTAACAAATATAAATTATTTATATTTATATTCTTAAAATTTATTATTAGTACTTTTTAGAGGCACCTATAGCATTAAACCTAAAGATACTAAAAAAAAAATAAAATGGAAGCTAGAGAAAAGTATAATTTTTTGTTGAAACGGGAAAAAATAGAAGAAGTTCATATATTGGAATTTGTTGTGGAAAATGGGGCTAAGAAAAAAAAATCCTCCTATCCCTCATTATTCCAGTGTTCTTTTAGACTCAAAGAAATCTTTAACAAGGGAGAAAAAAAGACTAAATCACTCTATACTAACATATTCCTGTAAAACATTTTATAGAAGCTAATGTACCTCTTAAGTATGGCTATTAATCATTAAACATGTTTAAGTATGTGTGGTAAACTTCATGTCATGTGAGGAAAGCCTTTCTTTTTCTACTATTTCTATGTCATTTTTTACTTTGTGGAAAATCTTAGACATGAGCTCATTGTTATTTTTAAGTGTAACAATAACTTTCTAAATTTGACTTTGCCATATGCTAAGGTTTTCTTCCAGGAGTTGCCTTGGATTTATTTATTGTTTCTATCTACTTGTTGAATTCTCTTACTTTCAGAAGTAGAACTGAGGAAAGAAACATGTTTCATTTCTCACCCTTGTTGCTATGAGTCAGAATGGACTGATGGCAGTGGGGTTTTGCAAAAATGGCAAGAAGGCCACATGTTCTGACCTCCTCTAACCCCACAAGAGGAAGGCAGAATCACCATCAATAGCCCAAGGCCTATTACTGCAAGGCCAAACATGCTGCCTCCTTCAAGCCCTTTTCACCAACTGTTCCTCCCACCACCTCTCTCCTGGGTTTGATAATTCACTGCAGTGGCCACACAGAACTCACAGATTATGGGGTTTATTAAGGAAACACCAGGCTACAATTCAAGTTCAGGAAAAACGCTCAGTCTCTCTCCCAGCCCGCTGTCTCTCAGCCAAGACTGTCTCTCACAGTCTCTCTCCCAGCAGAGTGTCTTACTCAGCAACGCGTGTCTCTTGCGTCTCTTTCCCAGCAGCACGTCTTCCTCAACCAGCAGTCCCAGAGATTCTGCCTCTAGGAGGCCTCCTTTTGAGCTTGGCAGAGTAGCCAAACTAGCCAATCATAGCATCAGAACTCTAAGCACCTGAGAGAGAACCTCCCATAACGTTGCGTTGTGCCACACCCAACAGAAATAACCCAGGAGGATAACATTTACAATCAGGAGCTCCTCAGTTGCTCATTCCACTGCTGAATTTACAATGACTTATGGGTAGAAAAGCCATACTAAGTAATTTACTACACTGCAGGTTTCCTTGGTAAACACTAGTTTGAAAGAACAAAAGGTCTATGAACCATTCACTCTCTGTCCCCCATCACAGACACCCCCATACATGAGCCACAACAGGATGATCATAGTGTACATTTTACCTACACTATTTCCTGCCTCCGGAGTAGAGAGCTGCTTCAGGCCTTTATTTACATGACCCACTTGGACACACACACAGAGCTCACTATGTCTTGTCTTTGATTGTGACTGGGGCACTGGGGCAACTCTTAACACCTGTCAGTTGAGGGTATGCTGAGTGTGGAGGGAAGCTATTACATGGAAGAGCAAGGAGCTCAGGCAAACTAGTGTTTAAGCTGCGAGAACTGTACTGGAGAGGGTGCCTAGCCTTTTTTTTAACCATATCTAAAGATTTTCATTGTATGCTTTATGGGGTTCAGATAAAAAGAATAGTATACTTTTAAGGGGAAAAGTTGAATTATATTGTTAAACAAACTCTAATCCTGACGACATTTGGGGATCACTAATAACATAGACCATATATTAAGAAACATTATTCTATAACTTAACACAGATCATTTAGAGCAGCAAGTATTGCTGCAATCTCACTGCACTCCATTAGTACCTCAGTGTGCTACCACTCATCTGGGACTGCTTCTCCATGCCTACCATTTTCTGGATTGACTTCCATAATGATTTAGGAAGGTTTTAAGAAAAGGAATATAGGGACAAAAAACAGATTAGGGTTACCAGTGACTAAGGATGGAAGCTGGAGATAGCATATAACAGGGCATGAAGGAAGTTTGTGAGGTGATGGAAATTTTTTGTATCTCAGTTGTGATGGTGGACCCACCAGAAAAACCCATTGCTGTCAATTCCATTCCACTCATTACTACCCTGTAAGACAGAGTAGAACTGCCCCATAGGCTTTCCAAGGCTGTAAATCTTTATGGAAGCAGACTGCCTCATCTTTCTCCCATGGAGTTTGAACTGCTGACCTCTTGGTTCACAGCTGAGTGCTTTAACCATTGCACCACCAGGGCTCCGTGTGATGGTTGACAACTACTTGTATTTGCCAAAACCAACAAAACTGTACCTTAAAAGGGTAGATTTTATTCTATGTAAAATATACCTCAATAAACTTATCAACAACCAACCTAGTGACGGGGGTAGGCTAGAGAGGGAGAATCCTTGACACCTCTCTTAGTACCTAGGAAGCTAAGATAAATGGATTTTTGTCCATGTCATTTAGAGGAAGAGAACTTTGAACACTCATCAGTACAATACAGCTATTTTTGCATAAAACATTTCCCAGCAGTGAATTAGAAGAAAACTATTCATTGAGTTATCTTAAAATTGATACTTTTATTTCTTTTAAAATCTTCTAAATGTTAAGTCTAGCACACATTACCAAGGCAAATTAATCTATGTTTTGGGCAAAGCTGAAAAACTGTAAAATTCCAGATTGCTAATAATACTTCCAGGTTAAAATAAATAAATAAATAAAGTATGTGACCCCACACACCTATTGAAAATACAACTCCTTATCTCCATCTGGTCTGAGTCTGTTTCTAGTTTTTTGTTATCATAATTAATCATCTTAATAAGCACTGGTGTCTAATTTGCAAAGTTTCTGTATATCCTCTGGGTCATTTTGTTATTGTCATGAATGTAATACCATTAAATTGTCACATAACTTATTGTAGCTAATTAGCTACTTGGTTGCTATTTGTGATAGCCATTGGAATGTTTCATCTGTTTATAATAATCTTTTTTTTTCTGAGTGAACGCTTTTTAATCAACTATCTGTGGAAATGTATGATGAAAACAAGGCTTTTTTTTAATTCATTAGGAAAATAAAATCAGTTTATAATGTATGCATTTTAGGATTAAATGAGGAGTGAGACAATTTTTTATAGCGAGAGATTAGGTGAGCTTAAAACATTAAGTAGTTGACCAAGAACTAGTCTTAAGGTTTCTCCTCTCAACTGAAACTGGCACACAGAATGCTCTTAGGCAAGATACTGATTAAATTAGGTTACTCATGAAGAATCTAAATTGGAGATGAAGAATCTAAATGGAGATAAAAATGCCAAAGAAGGCACTAAAGGTGGAAGAAACTACAAAATGCTCATATACTTTAATAATAAATGCTATAAAAAATACTGCCTTAAGTCATAAAATGGAACCATTTGGCAATTGGATACCTGTGTTATTCATTATATCCTGACACTTGAACAGAGTTACTAAAATATCATATACTTTTCCTGGTCTCATATTGGAAATAAGCCTGAGAGAAATCACATACAAAAAGGGTCCAGGGCTATGAAGGCTTGGTTTGCTGCTGTTTACTGAGGACAGCCTTGAACAATTAAATCCAGCCAAATAAAACCCGCAAATATGGGCATGTGACACAGCTAGCAAGTTTATGAGAAAAAAATTTAAAAACCTTTCAAGGGATGTGCCAGTTTATTGTTGATTTAGTATAATGTAATATATAGCACAACAGATAGTTTTGACTTCATTAAGAAGTGAAATATTAATATCTTTCTTTTGCTTTTTTTTTTTTGTGTGTGTGTGTGTGTGTTGTAGATAAAAGCCATTATGGCTTTGGTTGCTGTTATCCTTTTGCTAGTGATTATCAGTAAGTATTTACTGGATTATTACTTGTCGGGGACATTATTTATTTTAGAGTTTGTTTTAATTCCCTTTTAAATTTATTGTAGTTGGCTAATATGACTGAGGTCAGGATAGAGTAATGACTTCTAATCCAAGTCAGGGACTCTTAACCTGGAACTTATGGGTCTCTGGAAATGCTCTAAGTTGAGAATATACAGATGCACATTTTTATGAGGAGTGAATTTATATCTTTTCTCAGATTCTCAGTGGGAATTGCCCTCTACCTCCCCACTTCTTACCTCCCTCCCCTCCAAAAATAGGACTAAGTGTCTTGTCCAAGGCCAAAAATGGCTGCTATTACACTCAGGACCACAGCCTACATTTTCTAGTTATTATTAACTTTCAGGTCTGGCAAATTGCATCTCATAACATTGTGTTTGGAGGACAAGATAAATTCTCCAGATGATAAAGGATTTTTTAGTGGTTTGTTTGGTGTTTTTGGATTTGAGTTTGATTTTAGTCATTAGAGCAAAGCTCCTGCCCCTTTTTTCCTTAATGTTCTTTTTTTTTAAAGTCATAATTTTAAATATATCCTTTTTCCAAACCTGTTTACCTAATTTTACAGGGATTTTGTGAAGATTTGGAAAGTGTTTCAAAAATAACCATTTGAAGAACTCTATGGCACTATTCTCTTTTTAAACAGAAAATAATTTTCTTGCAAAGAAATATATATTTATAGTGGACAGTTTGGAAAATGAAGAATAACTGTTAATATAACTATTGCATATACTCTGATCTCTTTTTATCTGTTTATCTATCTATATAAAAGCATGCTTTTTGAAAAATAATATAGTATACATAATTTCTAATAAATACGTATTGTGATTTTTCCATGTTAAATATTTTTACAGTATTTTTGCAGCTGCATGCTGTACTTGTGATTTATTTGATCAAAATGCTAATGTTGGACATATCAGTGATTTTATGAAATTTTTGATTCTCCTTTCTCATTTAAGTAATACCTCAGATAAAAATTGAGTTCTCATTACCCATATCCAAAAGTAGACATAGTTACATTTAGGAATATTGCTTCTAATGTGGCATATGAATCTGATTTTGATATGTTCCTTTTTCATTTTTTTTCTCTTGCAGTTCTTATAGTTATGAAATACCATACTTGATTTGATGAAAGAGATCTTCATTAAGCAAGATCTGGGACAATAATAATAATAAAAGATTGCTGCATAATTTAAATGAAACCTATGTATATACTTTTAAAACTTCTTTTTCAAGAAACTAAGAGGCAAATATTACTTTAAATTGGAGCGTTGAGAATGTCCATCCATCTTCTTCTCTCTTAACAAAATATGTTTTTAATTATTATGTTTAAGGCAAATATAACCAGCCTCTATTTTGCTATATTCCCAGGATCTAATTTGAAACTTGATACTTGCCAGTTCATTATTTATGTATATAGTTAAACACTGATGATGATAATTTAATACTATTATTTTAATGGCATAAGGACTCGAATTACTGCCTCAAGGTGGGGGTCAAGCTGGGGGGTCAGGAAAACTATGTTGGCTACCAAATCATTATACTTAAAAGAGATGCATAATCATTCTGTCAATATTTGCAGGGAGATCATTCCTCTCCTATTACAATTACTTTGCAAGCAATTTCCACATGTTTATGGATATAACAAAAGCTAAATGTTGTAAATGTTGCTGCCTTCAGGTATAACTAAAAACATTCTAGTAAACCTATTTTTACGGTATAAGGGAATGTATAGTAATTTTTTGGCATTTGGATTATGGAAATGGGAAATATGAAGAGTGTGAAAAGCATAGTATGTCACCATAAAACTGGAGCTAATAAAATTTTTGGAGAACAAACATCATTGGAGTGTTTGAAAATGACCAGTATATAGCTGCAAATCATGATCCAGTCTGTTTTCAGTTAACTTCCAATAAGGAGGGACCAGTGATAAAGTGAGTAAATGAAATCCACAGGTAATTTATTCCATATTTTTATTTTCATTAATACCTTTCCTCTTTAAGTCCATCTGGCCCTTTTACCAGAAGTGCTAAAAGTAGCAAAATTGTCTGCTTCGAATTGATACCTTTGCATTCTCTTGTTCATTTTCTGGGTGATGCATGTTGTACAATAAAGTGTCAAATCAGCTAAGCAGTAATGAGTAATAAAAAGTTGGGAGCCTAGATAATCTACGTCCAGGGTAATCAGTCAGTCAGTAACCAGCTACTAGAGGGGCATCATTAATCCTAGTCTGTTTTTATAATGAGAAAATGTGTTCTTGAGTTAACTTTAAAATGTGCCAACTTCTTTGTGTTGTTTAAGCAAGTCAGTGTGAAAACACATAGTTCACTAATGTGTATGGGAAGGAAGCTTTGTAATAAAATTGGATATTCCTCAGAAGCTTGTGTATCTGGACATTTTCAGTGTACATACTCTTTAGGGAGTTTCATAAACTCTCTAAATTTGAAATAGAAATAGTAGAAAATAGCAGTAATTAAATAGAAAAAAAAGATCCATATACGTTTTTAAAGTTTTTTGGTAATTTTAATTCAAAATGTATGAAATATAGAATCTGTGCAGTGTTTTGTTTTGTTTAAAATTCTGTGGGATTAGTACTAAGAGGCAAGAATTTCTGTTTAGGATGGAAAGAAACGTTGAAGGAGAAAGCAGATCAAGAGATACTCAAGACAGTTGCAAGTTAGGAAAACCTAACTAGCTAAATTTTCTAGTTTGCTAAGAACATTAAAAAACAGATATAGGTTAAAAAAAAAAAAAAAAGAGAGAGAGAGATAGGTCTTACCAACTGTGGAGTGTTGATTCTGGTCTCTCCACTCTTTGTAGATATCTATTAATATAAACAGTATCTTGGCTGTAATAAATCCCTGACAAAATAGGAGACCCAAGAAAATGAACGGTTTTAGAATTGAAGTAGCTAATAGTTTTAATTGCATTGGAAATATTGTAACTGAATGGGCACAGGCAGTCCTAATGTATGCATGTATGTATGTCCTTTATTTGGGATTGGAACCAGGATTATAAGTGGTTAGTTTTCCATTAGTTGGCGTAGAAAATCTGATTTCTCCAGGATATCGATCAGTGAAGAGGAAGAACATTTCTCAAAAACAGTATCAGCCAGAATCTACATTTCTAGTGTTTCTTTTAAAAGGATACGACTTTTAAAGAAACGATTAAAAATAAAATATAAAAATCATTAAAAATTTTAATCATAGAAAATATTTATATGACAATATTAGGTATACATAGTTCTCTTTGTATTTAAATATACTACTGCTAAGAATACTGGTGGCAGACTTGGCACTGTTAGAACTTTTTAGTACTGATTGTTTGGTTCACAATTGATCATTTCATTTTTCTTGATCTTAAGTAATCCTGAGACCCTTAAAATGGCTAACAAGATTATAACTTTATTATGGTAACCCTGGAGACATGAACCTTCTTAAGATCAGAAACAGGAGAAAAAATGTTTTTCAAATTGATGCCAGGTCTACCTTCTTCCTTCTCTTAATTATTCTTTTTCTCATTCAGCTCAGAATCATCCTGCAGTTGAGAAATGAAGTTTTACCATCATTATTTAACAACAATGAAGATCAACAGAAGTAGCTTTGCAAATACTAGTTGATACCTGTGAAATCAGTCATTCTGTTTTCATAATGCCTGAAACATACACTTGTGATTTATATTTAATTACAGAAGCCTATTTTACTCTGCAGCAATTTTATGATTATAATGCTAATTAATTGCGACGTCTTCTTGATTGTAACTCAGTAATTCCTGTGGTCTTTTTGATTCTTATGTCCCAGTTTCATTGGAAATTGCCCTCAGATTGTATAAACTGAGGGATTTCTGATTTAGAGGAAAATTTGGTATTGAAAATGGAACATTATTTAAAATGGAAGAATGTTTAGTATATATCAGATGTAGAACTATTTCATGTTACCTTTCCTGTAGATTGCTGATGATTTAATCTTTCTGAACAATTACTCTGCATTAGAAAAACTTCAGCATTTTTATAACAAATGTTGGCATCTTTCAATTCTGTGTAGCATGTGGATACCCTGAAAATGATACATATACAGATTGAAGAGGCAAGAATAAAAAGAAATTGAAATCTCTTCTTACCAATACACTGTTAAACTACTTGATGCCCTCTGTGCATTATTGCCCATGCTGACTCTGTATCCACATCCATTGCTAATAAGAAATATGCAAGAAACTATTTTTCATGTTGAGACTGAATATAATTAGATATCCCTAATTGTACTGAGTCAAAGAATTACTAAGTCAAGGTTATATCACTGTTTTATTAGTCAAATTCTATGTTTACACATAGAAATATGACGGGAATCAGTATTTTTCTGTGAATGAACAGTAATAGCATGAATCAATTAACAAGCACCTACCTATTTAGAATGCAATGTGTGCTCATATTTGTACAGGAAAATGCCACAAAGTCATGTAAAGACACTAGATCATAAGGAACTCAAGGTACCCAACTTCTTAGTCTGTCCATAATTGTTTCTTCCATGCTGTAGGCACATGGCACCATTCCTTTGACAGATACAGGGCTTGAGCTTTCTTTATAAATTTGATACTGGTCTTACCCTTTTTTTTTTTTTTTCTGGAAATCAAGTAGAATAAGGGACAGAGAACTGCAGACTCTTTTGTTCTCGTTCCTGTTTTATTTTAAAAAAGCTGCTTGGAATAAGTGAATAGGAGTTAAAAGAAAAGTATGACAGACCCAAGTGAAGGGAATTAATGTAAACTTGAACTTGTGAAAGCAAGGCCCACACCATGTTTCTTTGTTTTCTCAGCATCCAGTACAATGCTGTGCACCTGGCAGATGCTACATAAATGTGTGTGGCATGAATGTTTAAGGAATGAATGTGGCTAGAAAGTGACAAGGATGGCAGTATGCTAGTATATAGGTGAGAGCTGTTTACCACAGTGCTCACTTAAGAGGTGACATGATTGACGTAATGATGAGGCCTTTAGCCTTTACCAGGAGATACTAGTGCCCTTGTATAGTAATTCAATATAGAAAAATTCTGGTTTTAGAGTATTCCATTAGATTCTTTATATTTGAAGAGCTCTTGAAATCAAATTATCTATTAAATATTTTAAGGCTACAAAGTAAATTGCATAAATCAGATTTTGGTTAATAAAATGTTAGAAGTTAAAGTATAAGAAATATAAGCACTTTGGTTTTTTTTGGTTTAAATATATGTCATTATTTTAAATGCCGTACTCTTTTATTTAACCATTTTAATAAGTGCCTTTGATGTTTGAAGATATATGATGGAAAATTAACTAATGTAAATGTCGTTTATCCTGCTCTCTAGCTTCTCAGTTCTTCATAACCACTTTTACCAGTGTTTCAAAGTTTAGTCCTTTGTTTTCATATCAGAGGTATATTTGTAGTCCCTCCATAGTGAACAGTGAAATAAACTGTTTCGTAGAAAACAAAAATTAAGCACGTTGGCTTATTCAGTATGTGTTACCTGTGGCCTTAACTTCAAAGTATAACTGATTTAAAATCTGGCTAATAACCCCTAATTTAATTCATCCCTGTTTCCAGTAGAGTACACAGAGGAAAAAAGAAAAGAAATTGTTTTACCGAAAACTACATCTGATACATAACCTATTGACAAGAGGAACTTATAAGCGTAAAATCACTGGGTCTCAATGCAAAGAAAACAATTGGTGAAATACTAATGCTTTACCTCAGTGCTGCCCACTTGAAAGAGGAAGATAATACCTTGCTGCATGGAGTCGATGTCCCAATCAGAAAGCCTGTCACCCATCGCTCAGTTGCTGAGGTGCTGATTTTGGAGGCAACCAGAGTACTCATTCTCTCCAACCTCCTTCTACTCACACACTAGACTTCTTCTTTTAATACCCAGAAAAGGTATGGGTGAGGGATGATGTTGGGGGTACACTATAACCTGAGATACATAGTCTCCACAAATAAAGTGGAATGGAGATGGAACGCACCCTGAGAATGAATGATAATATTTAATATAATCTGACCATTCAGCATGTGAGAGAATCAGGCAGCAAGGTCAGATCGTACCTAAATACCACAGACTCACACTTAGTAAATGCAAAAAGCTGCCTGGAGCAGTAAACCACCTGCTTTTCAGCTGCACGTATAAGAAAGGGTTTGGACTAGTAGCCAAATGTATAACTGAGAGGTGCCAAAGGCAGTGCACTCATCCTGTGATTCTAGTAGGTCTAGATCTCATCATCTGAGGATGCCTAAGAAGATACAACATGGGGCCTATGAGTAACTAGCAGCAAGGAGAAAGAATATCCTCCTAAATCATTCCCAGTAGCGGACAAACCTGGTGTTATTATTTTTTTTCTCTTGAACTCTTTTCCCCACTTCCTGTCAGTTTCACACCATATCTTTGCTCATCTTTATAGCAGTAGTCCTGGAAAAACGTCCATACTTTCCACTCCAGTTCTTTTTTGCTCATTCTCTCATAAACATATAGGCAAGCTTTTGTCTCCACTCTCTACCAGACCTGCTCTTGTCAAGGTCACTGATGACCTCTGCATTGGTAATTTCAGGGGACAAGTCTTAGCCTTTATCTTAGCACATCAGCAGTACTTGGTACAGTTGATTACTCCTTAACATACTCTTCCCAGGCTTGATTTCTTGTTAACCTTACTGGTTGCCCCTCCTCTTCTCCC